TTTTGGAGAAATAAAATTTTTGTGGTATTTTTGGTACAAAAAAAATAAATTGTGGTATCTAAGGGTATTTATCTATAAAAAACATTCTTTAATTTTTGTATGTTTCACTAAAATTGTTTTCTTTTAATTTTATAATGTTATATGATTATTTATCGCATAAGATTTATTCTGTGTTGTGTTTTTGTCATATTTTTAGTATGTAATATTTTAATCTTTGAATATTTAATTTGTTTTGTAATATGTTATTCCAGTTATATTATATTCGAATGTGTGCATATTCAATTTATTATACATATATATATATATATATATATATAACCATGTATTGAAAATAATTTAGTTAACTTATTCTACCTTTAATAAACAAAAAATCGTCTTTTAATTTGATTTTACTATATAGTACTTTTTAATTATTAATAACTCATTTTATACTAACATGGTTGATTTATGTATCAAAATTCAAAAACAAAATTGATTACATACATCAAATTCAAATTTCACCAACTCACTGATCTTTATGATCCAGTGCAATTTTGTTAACATTTTTCTAAAGTGCTTATTTATCATATTTAACTCATTTTTTGGGACATTTTCAAAAGTAACTTTCTTTGAGTACCCTCTCATAAAAAATAACCTTTCTTGTTGTCCATTTTTAATAATACCCTTTTTATATAAAAAATGTCTAACCCCAAAAAGTTAAATACAAAACTTCACTTCCTCAAAACTATACCCTAAATGTAAAATAGAGAAGCCAAACCTAAAAAATATTAAGAAATTAATTTTACATATTGTAATTATGTAAAAGAGGGTAAAAATGAAAAAATGATAAAAAGGGTATTTTTCGCAAAGATATCAACAACAGTTATATCACGTTTTATTTTGACTATGCAGTATTGACTTGCATTTTCTGAATTTATAAGGTTAAATTGCAAAAAACGGTGATATAGTGATATAAACACCACTAATTTTTCATTTAAACTTTCATTATTATATTTTTATCATAACTAGAGGAGGAAATTTCTGAAATGTAAACTTTACAAATAACCCGAATAAGCGAATAAAATAGTGAGTTGTATGCATGTCATATTGAGAAACATCATGAGTTAAAAAAAAAAAACATCATTAGGAAAGAAAAAATGACATATGAAAAAGAAAAACAACATAAACAGCATACTTGAGAGTATTTTGCAAATCCAAATCACACATAGACCATAATCATCTAAAATTTTTTTTTTTTTAAACTAAACTTACAATAAGGGATGTATTGTATTAATTAATCATAAAAAAAACTATATATAGAAGATGAAAAAACCACATGAAACTTAGTAACAAGTATTTTATTTCTTACCAAATATTTGTTTTTATAACTTTTTTAGTAAATTAAAAAACTAATGACATGAAAATATAAAGAGTAATGTTATACCACTAAACATACACATTAAAAAAAATCTTATATGTTGCTTATATGTCACATACTTTTTGCTCATTTTTTCCATTTAAGTTTCTATATTAAAAAAAAAAAAAGATGTTAAATAAACACAAATTTATCTTGTCGAAAGTGATTATAACTTTTGAACCATATGTAACATTCTTCTTAATCTAATGATTTTTCAATTAAAATTTTAACTGATTTTACATATGCAACTATAAACTGGACATATGCAAAAACAATTGCTCTCTAATAATGATATGTCTATCAAGGAGAGTTTTTTTTTTTTTTTTTTTTTTTTTTTTTTTTTTTTTTTTGTAACAGAATCAAGGAGAGTTTCAATCATCTTTCATATATGATTTATATTTATCGTTTTATCTCAGTTATAGTTTATAGGAATGGTCCCTTGAATTTTTCAACCTTAACTTTTAACATCAAGAAAACATAGATTAAATTATTTATACTGCAAAAAAATGTTTATGTTAGTTTGGGATTAGTTATGAAAAATATATATATGTATTTTCCGTATAAGATGATGATTTATGATTTTTATTAAACAGTTGTATATAGCACTCTTGATTCGTAGGGAACTCCAATGGTGTTAAGCACTCGTGGTTATATATATTAGCACTTATACAGAGAGCCACAACCTGCCCTTCTTCTGCCTAGCCGTATATATTCTTGATGCACTTTTCTTTTATAATATCCAGTCTACCATTACTATAACTAGATTGCGTTGGGCGGGATTTCGATTTAAAACTTCTTCTATCAATATTAATCTTTGAACATAATTATAATCATTCAAAATTTAAAAGATAAAAATTATATAATTAAACACTAAACTAAAATTTTTAAGCGATATACAACATATATATTGTTGGCGATAGTGTTTTCTTGACAAATAAATGATTTAAAATTATTACATAGTAACAAATATTACTTGAAAAGATTTGCTAGAAGATTAAATGGCATCAACGACCAGCTCATAGTCCTAATTATAGATATCATTTATGATTAGATGTTGATACAAATATAACACTGTTCTATATATAACACGAATTTACCGAGCCTCATATATATCATTAAGTGTAAAAATACATATATAATATCATGTCGCTAAAGTAGGTTTAACGAACTTGCTTTATCCATCAGAAAAAGTGCAATGTGGTAAAAGAGAACTCTCGACCAAGTCATGAATGTGTCTCTTATCTCATTTCTATAGCTAACGGTTAAGCCCGACTCTGAATCTAGTACTATGACTTGAGTTTTAGAAAAACTTACTTCATTTCACAGAATAAATGAGATCTCAAATATTTCAAAATTTAGTCATATACATTATCTTTTTAAGTTATAGTCATTTATATTCAATCGCTTTTAACTACTAATTCTCTTTTGATCTTCTACGATGCACTCGTTACCTCTCGACATCTAGTTTATTTCCACCTTCTATTAACTCTCATATAATACATATTAAAGTGTGAGTTGATTTTTAAGACATCATAATAATTTCTTCCTTAATAATGGTCCATTTTGGGTTAAAAGCATTTGATTCAAATGATGGGATATCAAACTTGTTTTTCCTTTTGATTATGTTAGAAAGTTATAGTTCTACTTGAGAATAAATAAACTTTCTTTTTGAGATATGCTACACACATTACATATCACTTTCTATATATTTTATTGTAAAACTAATGAATAATGTGATAATTAATTATTTATTATTTTAGAATATGGATAATAATGTTTTTAATAATTTTTATGCTAAACCTTTTTGGACTGAACTGTAAAGCTTATATTATCAAAATAAATGTAAAATCACCGAAACTTAGTTGAGGATAAGAAGCAATGAAATAGAGTTTAGAATTTGTTATTATATGTTAGAATTAACTTACGCATTTAAGTACCTTAGGCTTGGAGATTTGAAAAGCAAGAATCTCATGAGCGGTTATTAAATCAGAATGGGATTGAGTTTGTGAATTCTGATAAGCTGAAGTGAAAACGATAGAAATCCGTAGAAGAAAGAACGTAACTGAGAGACAGCTTAAACCTATTAACTTATTTGGGCTTATATTATATTGGGCTAAACAATGTGTTCCTTTTAATATCATAGAAAATAAATCCAATTTAGATATAAAAGTGTTGGGGCTTAAATTACAAACTAACAGGCCAAAAGACAATAAAATGATGAACAAAATATATAGGTTTAGATTATTTGTTGGGCTTGACACAAAAATTAGAAAAATGCTGACGTGGACAGCTTTAGAGGGAGATATAACTCTCTCATTATATAGATAGATTATTGAGCATTTGTGAGAAATACCTCTTTTGGTGTGTTACTTTTTAAAAATATCCTCTTTATCTATCCATTTTCAAAAATACCCATGTTTAAATATTAAAAATTATAAAGTTTTTTATAGTTTATAAGACACTTCTATATAATAACTACTACTGAAAGATTCGATACAAATATTTTAAAATGTTTTAAATGGTTTTAAATCGTTTTATAAGTTTTATAAGGTTTTTAAAAGGGATTATAAGGTTTTTAAAAGATTTTTATAAGTTATTTTTACGTTATTTATGAAAGATATATAAAATCTTATACACATACAAAGGTAATTTGTGTATATATTTATAAGGTTACTATATATTTGGATAAATTTCAACATTTTTAATAGTTTTTTTTTATAAAGTTTGAAAATGGAATATTTTTTAAAAAAGGTATATGAAAAAGGGTAATTTTGAAATTCCCGCTTAATTATTTAACACTTAAAAACGTAAATCTAAAGCTAAGTAAACGTGATTTTAGCATATGATTATAACCACTTTGATGATTTTTAGGTCAAATAATATTTAAATTTTTGATTATACAAAAATTTGATTGTAAAAATTTAAATATATAGAATATTTGGAGAAATTATAAATAATATTATTTGTTCATAATTCCGGGTTTAGTTTTTGATAAAAAAAAATTATAAAGGTATTTAAAAAAATATTTTACGTAAATAGAGTGTTTTTTAAAAATAAAATATACCATGACAATTAGAGCGAATTATTCTACTTATTTTTTGATAATATCACAAATTATCATTTTTGAACCTAGATTTTATTGAGAATTGAGAAATCAACACAAATGAGTAGTACTAGTAATCCACTTGTTTCTTTCCTATTATTCTTTTTAAATTTATTGAATTTCGTTATCTTTTCTCATGACTACATGAGATTAAGTATTAACTATTAACACATATAATCATTGATACGTGAGTACGTGGCAAATCAGTGTAAAAACGTGGCAAATCAGTGTAACTAATCTGTAGAACAATTGTTACGTAAGTGAACACTTGGCAAATCACTGTAAGAACCTAAAACGGTAAACGTCATTTACGTGTGGTTAGTGGTAACCTTGCTTCGTCCCATCAAGCTTTTTTACTTCTAAGTCTTCGAAGAAGTTATTTTATAGAAAGTAAATATATATTAAAAAAAAGAGACTTATTCTCCTATTTATATGTTTATGTAGACGTAAGACTTAAAAGTGTTTCAATTCCATTTTCATCTTAAGGTTAAGCTTATCGATATGGAGGGTTCCTCAAGCAGTGTTAATGGTCCGAGCAACACTCACTTGCATAAGAAGCAACGAACAGAGGATAAAACACGTCAGGCCATGTTGGATTTTGATGTTCTTGATTGTCCTGTTTGCTGCGAGCCACTCACTATTCCTATCTTCCAGGTTACGTTACTCACTCAATACGTTTCGACCACTTTGTTTTGTATCTAATAACATATTGTTTGTTCTTTTGCTGGTTAGTCAATGTTTTTTTGACTTTTTTATATCATTGGTTATTGCATTTCAGTGTGACAATGGTCATTTGGCTTGCTCTTCTTGCTGTCCTAAACTGAGTAACAAATGTCCTGCATGTGCTTTGCCTATTGGCCGCATACGTTGTAGAGCAATGGAGAGAGTTCTTGAATCGATCTTGATCCCATGCCCAAACGCCACGTTCGGTTGCACCAAGAATGTCTCTTATGGGAAAGAATCAACTCATGAGAAAGAATGCATCTTCTCACCTTGCTCATGCCCTGTCCAAGAATGCAATTACAATGGCATATACAAGGATCTCTATGCTCACTATAATTCAGCTTCCCACCCGATTGGATACATCTTTCATATCATCAAACCTGACTTTTGTTATAGTGTCCGGATGAAAATCAGTAATAAGATATTAATTTTGATGGAATCCATGAAGAGACTATTGTTTGCAGTGCAGTGTCTTAGGGAACCATACGGTGTGTATGTAACTCTAAGCTGCATTGCACCAACTGCTCCAGAAGTAGCAAAGTTCTCATATCGTATCTATTATACTGTGGATGAACACACCTTGATTTACAGATCACCTGAAGTGAAGAGGATTCTTGAAGTGAGTTTTCAAACCCCTCAAGAGAATTTCATGTTGATCCCTAACAGTTTATTGCGTGGTGAATTTTTGGAGATGAAGCTTTTTATCAAGGAGTTGAAGCTAGAGTAAGAAGGTTAATTAATTAGGGTAATATGGAAGGAGGCTTTTTGTATTATTTTTTTGGGAAACTTCATCTATATGTATCATTTTTTTTTGTTTAGACTGTGATATTTTGTATTTTGACTTCGTCTTCTCTAATTTTGTTATCCTTATCTACTGAAGGATCTATATATGCCACTTATTTAAGTTATTACAGTTTCATTGTATGATCGATCAAGCTGTTCAACTGTTATGAATGATCATTGTAAACGTATAGAAACTAAAAGAGAAGATATAAATGGAAATAACATTTTAAACGTATACTTGGTAAACAACAGTTTTTATATAAATAATTCATCAAAATATATATATTTGGTAATTTTCTTCAAAATTAGAAGAATACAAATGTAAAAGCAAACTAGCTCCCAAAATTTCAACCAGCAAAATTCTATCAAATTTTTCTTATTAAGGTTCTTACTATGTTTTTCTTTTGAGTGTGTGGAGTGTTTTATTATATGAAATATTTTATGATAATATATTATATATAACGTATATGCAAATGAAAAACTATACGAAATAAGATAAAAATATATGTGAAAATTTACAACATACATTATAATTTTAAAAATGTTAGTATTTAACTTAACCTAAAAGCCAATTACGTGAGTGACCACGTTAGTGTTAAGCTTGTTTCGTCCCATCAAACTTGTATGCAGCTTTTACATCCAAGTCTTCTCGGAGCCTGAGTAGACAAAAGTCAAAAGTGGTTTTACAAAAGTTAAACCCTTATTTTGTTTTTGCTTTTTCAATATTTCCTATTTATATGTGTATGTAGGCACGTAGACTTAAAGCTAAAACTGTTTCATTTCCATTTTCATCTTGAGTTAAGCTTATGATCGACGACATGGAGAGTGCTCCAAGCAGTGTTAATGGTCCGAGCAACACTCACTTGCAAAAGAAACAACGAACAAGGATAAAACACGTCCAGCCATGTTAAATTTTGATGTTCTCGATTGTCCTATTTGCTGCGAGCCGCTCACTATTCCTATCTTCCAGGTTACGTTTCTACTTTCGAATAAGTACTTCAAGCCGATACATCATTTAACTTAGTTGATGTAAAGTTAAGTTAAGTCCATAATTAGCTAGGTTTTCCAATTATGTAGCTAGGTTTTCTAGAATGTTGATTTGACTGTTATTTCATTGGTTATTGCATTTCAGTGTGATAATGGGCATTTGGCTTGCTCTTCTTGCTTTCCTAAACTGAGTAATAAGTGTCCTTCATGTCATTTGCTTGTTGGCCACAAACGTTGCATCGCAATGGAGAGTGTTCTCGAATCAGTCTATGTCCCATGCCCAAACGCCAAGTTTGGATGCAACCTTAAAATACCTTATGGGAAAGAACCAACTCATGAAAGGGAATGCACTTTCTCTCAATGCTTATGCCCTGTAGAGTACTGCAACTACACTTGCTCATACAGAAACCTCTACGCTCACCATTGTTTTTATACTCACCATGGCTCATACTCGTCAAATGGTTTCACTTGTGGTAACTTCGTAAGTGTTCAGATGAACATCAGTGAGAAGATATTATTCGAAAAAGAGCGCAGGTTAAAAACTCTTGTTTGTAGTGCAATGCTTCAAGGAGCCGTGTGGTGTGTATGTAACTGTAAGCTGCATTGCACCACCAAATCCAGAAGTAGGACGGTTCTCATATCATCTTTCTTACACTGTGGATGGACAGACTATGACTTAAGAATCACCGGAGGTGAAGAGAATACTTAAAGTGAGCTCCCAAAGACCTGAAGAGAGTTTCATGTTGATCCCTAACAGTTTACTACGTGGTGATACGTTGGATATGAAACTTTGCATCAAGAAGTTGAAGCAAAGTGTTGTATAATGTGGTTTGGTTTGAGATTAAAAGACGTACGCAATGTGTTTGTTCTGGTCATTATTATTTATTTTTTGTTATCATATATGAAGCCCCCTCCAATGTAAAAATTGTATGTTTTGATTAGAAGCTGAATTTACAACTATTTATTAGGTGGAGAACAGAGAGTTCACAGAGCTTAGTGTAGATACTATTTCTACGCTTAGACAATGTGACCAATCTGTACTTGCTTCTTTCTATTTTCTTTATATTAATCTTTTGCTTTCCTTTTGATTTCTTGGTGTTCATTTTTTTGGAAAACAAATTATGAGTTTTTGACTCAAAAAAAAAAAGTGAAGAGAAATTTTGGAATAGTACTAATATATGTTTTTTCTTTTTCTTTTAACTTAAGAATATGTTTTTGTGAGTGAAAGATTTGTTTATTTATATACACAAAATAAGGGTGGTGCTAATTAGATCGCATTAAAATAGTCAATTCTTAGATTTTTGGTATTCATTAATTCTTCTATTAATTTTTTGCAATTTTGAACTTTTGGTGGTCAAGATTTAACACAAGATATAAAAAACATAACACTCGTACCAAAAAAAAGAAAAAGAAATTGTTTGAACGTTGAACAATATAGGATAAACGTTGGAGTAATGTAACATAACTTTTTCTTTTAACATAATGTTGTATTTTTGGTTCAGTTTTCAGTTCAGTTTTAAATTTTAACACCTATTGATATTCTCAGTAGTTCAGGTAGAATCCAAGATTTAAACTAGTTTCTAGTAAATAAAAAAATTAATGGTTATTTTACCTTTTAAATTTTATTGTATTATGTTACATTACCATGCACATGAGATTAACTCATATAATCTGAAGAACAATTGACACGTGAGTGAACATGCTGTGAATTGGGGTAAAAACGTGGCAATTCAGAGTAACTAATCTGTAGAATTGGGGTAAAAACGTGGCAGATCAGAGTAACTACGTGTGGGTTAGTGGTAACTTTGTTTCGTCGACGGTCTCAAAAGACAGAGAAGGTAAAAGTTATTTTATATATGTATAGTCAATTAGTCATGTAGAGTGTTAAAACTTGTTTCAATTCCATTTTCATATTGAGTTAAGCTTATCGATATGGCTACTCAAAAGAAACAACGGACAGATGATAAAACACGTCCGGCCATGTTAGATTATGATGTTCTCGATTGTCCGGTTTGCTTCGAGCCACCTACTATTCCTATCTTACAGGTTACGTCACTTACTTTCGAGTTCAGGCCGGGACTTTATTTAGCATATTTGGTTTTGTTTTATGTTTTCAGCTCAATCTTTAGATATTTAGTACGATCATGCGTTTTGCTAGGTTTTCTAAATATTGATTTGAATTTTTTTATTTCTTTGGTTTTTATTTTTCAGTGTGGTAATGGTCATTGGGCTTGCTCTTCTTGCCTACCTAAACTGAAAAAGTGCCATTCATGTTCTTTGACTATTGGCCGCATTCGTTGTAGAGCGATGGAGAGTGTTCTTGAATCGATCTTGATCCCATGCCCAAACGCCATGTTTGGTTGCACCAAGAATCTTTCTTATGGGAAACAATCAACTCATGTAAAGGATTGTATCTTCTCTCAATGCTCTTGCCCTTTCCAAGAATGCAATTACAGTGGCTCATACAAGAATCTCTATGATCATAGCTTTCAATCTCATTCATCTTCCTACCCGTTTCCATGGATCCCTCATATCGCATGTGACATTAGCTTTCGTGTCTTGCTGAAAATCAGCAATAAGATATTAGTTGCAAAGGAATTTTTAAAGAAACTATTGTTTGTAGTGCAGTGTTTTAAGGAGCCGAACGTTCTGCGTGTAACTGTAAGCTGCCTTGCGCCATCTGCTCCAGAAGTAGGACGGTTCTCTTATCATCTCTCTTACACTGTGGATGGAGAGACTGTGACTTATGAATCACCGGAGGTGAAGAGAATACTTAAAGTGAGCTCCCAAAGACCTGAGGAGAGTTTCATGTTGATCCCTGAGTGTTTACTACGTGGTGATTATTTGGATATGAAACTTTGCATCAAGAAGTTAAAGCAAATATAAGAGTAGTATAAATATGGGTTGGTTTGAGATTAGAAGACGTGTTGTGTATGTTCTGGTTATTATTATTTTTTTTTTTTTATTATCATCTATTAAATCATCTATGTAACTATGTAACCCCTTCCAATGTAAAATTGTATGTTTTGATTTAGAAGCTGAACTTATGAGTAAGGTACGGTTGTATTTGGTTTAGTATTCAGTTCAATTTTAATACAAGATTTCTATCTTATTAGATGGAGCACATTTTATGGTTTATCGCTAAAATTCAAGTCAAAATGTAAATCTAGTGCATTAGCATCAATAGTAATATTTTCTAATATATATATTTAATAAAAAAAAATCTAAATTACTAAAATGTAACAATGTTGCCAAAATAATATAATATTACATTTTTGAATCTAACTTGTCATTTAATTTATTAGATGGTTATTACAGAAAAAGAAGTTTACTAGTCAATAGTCACTACTAGACTTCAAAAAATAATAATACAAGATTGAGTTCTAAGACCATCTCCAATGGTTTTTGCTATTTTTGCCTTTATAATAGAGGAACTTTATAATAGAAGTGACTTTTGCTCAAATGTTTTCCTTTACTTTTTTTTTTTTATAATAGAATATTCCAAATAGATTCAGAGATCAGACATTCTACTACTGCTGTTATACCATGCTGGTCTTCCACAAACTCTTATATCTATCTATTGAGAGCGACAAGGAAAACGGTTGGCAGGGATTGCCTCGTCTGCTTTTGAAGTCTCCAAATCTACAAACTCTAGTTATAAAGGTATATCAAAGCTTTAGGCAAATTAGCACACACAATATTGTTTTTTTGCTCATTGATACATGTCAAATTGTTTGCTATGCTTTCAGGGTCTTGTGCACAAAGTTACTTATAGATGTGGAAACGCATGCGTTTGCACTAGCAAGCCTAAGAAAAAGGAATTATATAAGCGTTATGAAGATGTAAGTCCTCTTTATGAGGTGAAGGGAATGTGTTGTTTATCGACATGTCGAGTCAAAGTGCTAGAGATCTCAGGCTATGGAGGAAGTACTGGAGAGGTGAAACAAATGAGGCATTTCTTGGGAAAATTGAAATATCTTGAAACTGTGAAAATTGGTGTTGAAGAAGACAATAACAACAATGGTGAGAACTTGCGTGCCAATATCATGACTCTTGATAGAGTTTCATCAAAGTGCAATATCCAATTCATCTAAATTCTCTCTTGCTCTGTCTGAAATCTCTCTCCCGTTGTTGTTTTTGTAGCTTAGACTTGTGAAGGAGACTTAAAAACATGGGTTGTTGTTAATTATAAATATTGTTGCATAATATTTTGTTTTGGTATTTCTAAGTTGTCAAACTAATCTCTCATGTATCAGCGAACTGAATATGGTACCTTTTAAAATATTATAAAACTACAGTAAAACCTCTATAAATTAATACTCGATAAATTAATAATCTCTATAAATTAATAAATTTCCCAGGTCCCAACTTGGGACCAATGTAATTTTAGACATATTTCGATAAAATAATAAGATAATAATTTTTTTGAAAATCCTTTGTAGATATATGGTCCCATCAATATTATAAATTAATAATTAGGTAAAATTTTCAAAATATATGTATATATAGACACATTAGTTTTTGTTATATTTTATTTATAATATTTTACTATATGAAAAATAGTTAGCATTATCTTTTAATACATAATAATTTTTATTTTATTTTTAATTGATTATATAAAATACTAATTATCATGATTAAATCTTATTTTTAAATATTGTCTTAAATATTTTCCAAATTAGGAATATCTCTTTATAAATTAATAATTATTAATTTATCGATAAATTAATACCTCTATAAATTAATAGATTTTCATGGTCCCAACATTATTAATTTATAGAGGTTTTACTGTATTTGGATCTTAACCTTCTAGTAGTAGTTATTGTATCTACCAATACCTTATAAACCATATTAAAGTTTATAAGTTTTTTATATTTGGTATTTTTTTTAAAAAGATACACCAAAAAAAATATTGTTCAAAAATATTTTTCTTCATTAAAATAGGTCAGCAAATACCAAATTCCAGGTCTCCAGTGTGGTCTTTATTACTAATGAGATACAATATGATAAATTTATTTTGCAAAAGATCAAAACAACCAAGTCCTTACTGAAAATTAACAAATAAATATCAATACTCTTACAAAGGGTCCGATTGGTAGCCACGGATTTGGTGGTGCGGGACAAGCGATTTAATAGTGCGGTACAGTTTAACTGCGGTATGGGCGGGACAAATGTATTTGCGGGACAATTGCGGTTGATGCATAATAAGTGGTGCAGAATAATATTTGATTGGTGAAAAGATATTTGCGGTGTGGATTTAATATTAGGTTATTAATAATTAATATACTTAATTTTTTTGTATTAATAAAGAAAGATTTTTATACATTTACAAAATAAGTAAAGGAAAATTTGCTCAAAATAAACAGTAAAGAACAAAAGATTCTAATTCTTATATAAGTAATGTAATATTTAATTAAAATCAAATTTCTTATAATTTTTTTTTGATAAAACATAACTAAATTAAATAATTACAGATTTAAATTCATAACTTTTGATGTAATAATAAAAAGTTTGATAAAAACAAATAAACTATAAAATATTATATTCAAAATGATAATGACTACTTAAATGTAAAAAAGATAAAAATGTGAGTTTTATCTCTTTTTGTATATGTGAGTTTTTGAAAAGATAAATAGTTGTATATTTATAAACTATAAGCCTTATATAATATTTGGTTTTTAAATATTTATTTTTGCTAAAAATGATAATTGTTTGAATAAATTAGTAAAAATATAAATAATTGATATGATTGTAAATTATTATATGTTTTTTGTTAACAAAACAAAATTTTAACCTTAAATATCCAAAATTGTTTAAACTAAATTTTTAATAACTTTTTATGTATACTTTTTTTTTATGAATATCTAAAAATATGATTTTGTAATTTATTATTAATATATACATATATAGTTACTTTAGTATTTCAACAATATTCAATTGTTACAATATATATTAACAATATTCAATTGTTACCATATAGCAAAAACAAATTTATTCATACTTTGTAAAGCTACAACTCGGCAAGGGACAAGTGCCTCAACGGCACTTTCTACAAAGGAGGGACAACGGAAGCTGATGTTGAGAAGGTTGTATCCTACATAGTGCCAACAGAAACTGATGTTGAGAAGTTTATCTTTTTTTGTAAGAATTGGGTCATGTTGTTTAAATAAATTGTGTTGTTCCATGTTGTAAGCTGAGTTATTAATTGTTCCTTAATTAGTATATTTGTTCTGAACGGGGAGCTTCTTCCATTTATCAATCTATTTGTCTATTTGCGCATGTTTTGCTTTTAGTTTTATCACCATTTTTGACTCTACGGACAATTACTAGGCTATATATACAATAAATTTAACAACTTTTTAATATTTTTGAGTTTTTCATTGCTTGTGAGAAGAAGCAAAAAAAGTTTTAAATGATTGTTAACACATTGATAGTGAGAAAAAGTGTGATTAGAGTTTTTTCACCACAAAATTTTGAGCTTTATAATTGAATACGACTGTGAAACTATTATGTGAACATATCGTACAACCTAGTAACCTAAGACATATGTATATTTATTTCTCGTAAAAATGAGTATGCAAGTATAGTAAATTTATTTAGGATATCAAAACTTACACTTCAAACTTATCTTTAAATATATGACATAATACGAACAATTTATAACTGTGTTAAAATATTATTTAAAATATCAAAATTTCTATAGTGTTCTCTTTCATAAGAATATTAATTAAGCACCACAAAAGAAGAAAACGCGATAATTTTATATTATACCACAACATTTATTTTTGAAACTGTATTTCAATAATTATTTGAATAATATTTTTTTTCTTAATTAATTATATCCTTAAAAATCAATAATGAAATCATAGAAAATTAACTCAATTATTCTTATCTTATGATATTGTTCTTAACTATTTGACCATATATTTTTAATTAACTATTTTTATTACATTAATCAGACAAAACTAGTTTAGCCATATTTCATTAATTTGTTATTATTTAAATATATATAGTTCGTTTAGCAAAAGTATTTTAACAATATTCAATTGTTACCATATATACTGTTATTTCATCATATTCCACGAAAAAATCACTACAAAAATTCACATTCGGTGTTGTCTTTATAATTTTATCGTACATTTCACCACTTTACACACACAAAAAAAATATTAGTTTTTTTTTTAAGTCAAAAGTTTTTAAATTTGTTTTTTTTTTTAATTTCCGATTAAAAAGAAGCAGAAGCATACACGGCTAAAGCCCATAACGGCCACAAGGCCCAACAAAAAATTACCATGACAAAGCCCAAGAAGGGCATTAAAGTCAAAAGTTCAAAACTGAAGAGAATCCAAATTTCAATTTCGAACTCAAACCAAACAAAGAGGTTTTGGGATTTTAGCTATCTCTCCGGTAACGATTTCTACAGAAGTCAAAGCCTCGGACATGGTTGAGACCTCAATTTCGGAAGCTTCGGCCACAATTCTCTCTCGAAAGAGAGAAGCTTCTTCAGTACCTTCCTCTGATGCAGCGAAGAAACGCTCAATTACGCTATTGGATCTGGAGATTCTCGATTGTCCCATTTGCTATGAAGCACTAGCGACTCCTATCTTCCAGGTTTCGTCTTCTTACATTGAACCCAATCGAATTAGGTTTTGTATTCATGGAATTAGAATTGTGGGTATGTCTAAAGTTTACAGCTTTAATTAAAACTCGTTGGTTTTTTGAAATTTGCAGTGTGACAATGGACATATAGCTTTTGGTCTTGTTATTACAGCTTTTGTTGGTTTTTTGAATTTGCAGTGTGACAATGGACATATAGCTTGCTCTGTTTGTTGTCCAAAACTGAGAAACAAATGCTCTATATGTGCTTTACCTATAGGCCATAGTCGTTGCAGAGCGATGGAGAGCGTTCTTGAATCGATCTTGATTCTGTGTACCAATGCTAACTTTGGATGCACCAAGACTGTATCTTATGGAGATAAGTCAAATCATGAAAAGGAATGTGTTTTCTCTCAATGCTCTTGTCCTGCATTGGGTTGCGATCACGCTAGCTCGTACGACGATCTCTTCCTTCACTATATTATGACCCACATGGACATGGAGATTGAGCCTGTTAAGTTTAGTTGTGACATTTCCTTTGCTGTACTGCTGAGAATTAGTGATAAGGTTAGAGTTTTTAGGGAGTTTGAGGAGGGTTTGTTGTTTGTTGTGCAGTGTTTTAAGGAGCCTTGTGGTGTGTTTGTGACTGTAAGATGTATCGCTCCCTCTGCTCCGAAAGTAGGAGAATTCTCGTATCATCTGTCCTACGCTGTTGATGGATACAGTATGGCTTTTAAATCACCAGAGGTGAAGAGAGTTCTTGAAGTGAGTTTTGAAATTCCTCGAGAGAATTTCTTGTTGATACCTAACAGTTTGTTGCGCGGGGAAACGTTGGATATGAAGGTTTGCATCAAGAAGTTGAATCAGAAAGTAAGGTTGGCCTTAGGGTGATATAGTAGAGTATTGTTGTTGCTTTAAGGCTTTTATTTAACAAGGTTCTTGTTGTTCCTTTGTAAGCTTATAACAAGGTCTTGTATCATTTTGTTTACTAATCTATGTAGCTTCTTCAATTGATCGATGTTGATTCTCTGTGTATTATGATATATTAAAATATTGAGATGTGATACGGTTATATCCTACAAGAAAATCTCATTATGTATAAATACGACTTTTATATTAATGAATAAAGCCTTTCTAAATTATATTATGGTATCAGAGCAAAAAAAAACTCTTGTGACCTAATTTCTTTTTCTATGGTCGTCATTGTTTGGCTTCAGCAACTGCCGCATGCATTCTAAAATCATTAACCTAGCCATTGCTTCCGCTATCTTCTATTTTTCTAAAATTTCTAAACCTCAATTCTTTTTTTTTTTTTTGGTGATTCTACCTGTTTTCTATTAAACCTAGCAGCTATTGTGGCCGTTTTCCATGAAAGCTACCGCTGCAGCCGTTTAACTTCTTCTTTGTCGGTGCTTCACAAGCCGCCGCACGTCTATCTTCTATCTTCTACACATACTAAACCTAGATTTTTCTTTTAAGAAAGTTTTGTCCAAGTTGGTGTCCAAAATTTCGGATCACCAACTTGAGGGAGGGTATTAGGATATATTAAAATATTGAGATGTGATACGGTTATATCCTATAAAATCTCATTATGTAAAAATACGACTCTTATGTTAATGAATAAACTAAGCCTTTCTAAATTATATTACTCTGTTATTAAATTTTAATTAGAATTCTGATTTAGCCATTTATGTGTTGAGTGTTTTAGTTTGAAATATTTAAAATGAAAATTAAAAATATTACTATAAAGTAGATGCAAATGATAATGCAAGGTTATTGAAGAAACAAGATCAACCAAAAAAAAAAGGTTAGAACTGATAATGAAACATCAATAGATTAAAGATGCTATATAGAAACTTCAGTAGATAAGGAAAACAAAATGATACAAGACCAAGCCAAAATAGCTCTGCTAATGAGCCTACAAGGTACAAAATCAACTTGTTAAACTTTAGACGTAAAGCAACTTATAATTTGGAGTTCATCTAGTTTAAACTCAGACATTAACGACCATAAAATGGATATAAATTTGAGTTTCCACACAAAATATGAAAGCCTCCTTTTTTAGATCATCTCCCCAACCTTCTTACTCTTGCTTCAGCTCCTTGATGCGAAACTTCATGTCCAACATTTCACCACGCAAGAAACTGTTTGGGATCAACATGAAATCCTCTCGAGGGGTTTCAAGACTCACTTCAAGAACCCTCTTCACCTCTGGTGATTTAAAAGTCATACTGTATCCATCCACAATGTAGGAGAGATGATATGAGAACTTTCCTACCTCTGGAGCAGATGGTGCAATGCAGCTTATAGTTACATACACACCGTACGGTTCCTTAAAACACTGCACTACAAACACTAGTTTCTTCACAAGTCCCCTTAAAATTAATATCTTTTTGCTGATTTCCATCCGGAAAATAAAACTATTATCAAACTTGAGTGGGAGGTTGATGTATTCAATCGGGTGGGAAAATAAAATATAGTGAGCATAGAGATCCTTGTATGAGCCATTATAATTGCAGCCTGGAACAGGGCAGGAGCATTGAGAGAAGGCACATTCCTTTACATGAGTTGATTCTTTCCCATAAGAGACATTCTTGGTGCAACCGAACGTGGCGTTTGGGCATGGGATCAAGATCGATTCAAGAATACTCTCCATCGCTCTACAGCGAATGCGGCCAATAGGCAACGTACATGCAGGACATTTATTGCTCAGTTTAGGACAGCATGAAGAGCAAGCCAAATGTCCATTATCACACTGAAATGCAATAACCAAAGCAAGAAAATGTAAATCAATATTCAAGAAACGCACTTGACTTGATTTACAAAAACTGACATCTTGGAAAGGCTAACTAAATAAAGTCACAACATATTTGGAAAGTCGAAACGTTACCTGGAAGATAGGAATGGTGAGTGGCTCAGAGCAAATAGGACAATCGAAAACATCAAAATCCAACATGGCCGGACGTGTTTTATCCTCAGTTCGTTGCTTCTTTTGCAAGTAAGTGTTACTCGGACCATTAACATTGCTTGAGGCACCCTCCATATCGACAAGCTAAACTCAAGATTAAGAATGGAAGTGAGACAGTCTACTTACACATATAAATAGGAGCGAGATAATCAATTTTTTTGAGACAAGAAATATAAAAGAAAAGAAAGAAGTAAAAAGCTTTCACTTTCGATTTCCGAAGTCTTTGACGTAAAAAGCTGCATGCAAACATTATGACTTGGACAGAATACGAAGAGTTTGATGCAACGAAACAAGGTTAACTACACGTTAATGACTTTTACGTTCTTACATTATTTGCAACGTGTTCACTCATGTAATTACCTTTTTGTTTGATAATTTTGCATTGTCCCTTGCATCTACTTTATACTGTAATATTTTTAAGGGAATGTTGGAGATTTAGTACATTTTTAAAACTTAATATGATTTATAATACATTTACTATTTATAATTAGAAAAATAGGTGGGTTTTACTATTTGTGCAATAGAATAAATGTGAGATAGATGGAAAAGTGGGGTAGATGGTTATAGTGTAAAATTACAAAAAGGTAGTTATACATAAGATCATTTGTACAATATATTTAGTGTACATACTTTTATTTGACATTCATATTTAATGTACAATATATCAGCTGTACGGTTGAAGATATGCCTATTAATATATATGTGTACATTCAGTGAGCTGTATGGATCAAAATATGTGTGTATATATATTTGTACATATAATTAGTTGTGCAAAATAAATCTGTATATGTAGTGAGTTATACAGATAATAATTTATGAAATTTTTTTGACAATATCAAATAAAATGCATATCAAATAATAAAGGAAAAAATAGATATTTATGTACTTGAAAAAAATTAAAACAAACTTACATTAACTAGTATTTTAGTTATTAGAATAAAGAGGTGAGGTGATGAAAAAAATTAATAAAAGGAAATGCAAAAGAAAATGTGCTTAATGGCAGTTATTGTAAATATGTAATATTTTTGAGGATTTTATGGTATAGTGAAACAATATAAAACAGTGATATATGACTATTTTGCAAATTGTAAATAGTAAATGTATTACTTTGTCTATTATGTTTTATAAGAATATACTAAAATGCATATTATCCATATTTTTAATTATCATTTAAATATAAACTATGAAGCTAAATCAGAATTTTAATTGAACTTTAATAACTCAAAGAAGTTTTACTAAGAGGCGTGAGTCCTTTCACATCTGTCTTCGTGTGCTCAGACCATCTTCAATGCATATCTTTATTTTTTCTCTAAAATAATTAACTCTAAAATAGAGCATGGTTTCGCTCTAATGTATTACTCTATTTTTTACTCTAAAATAGGGATAGTGTAAAAAATAGAATAGAGAATAGAATTACTCAAGATATAGAGTAGGGTTGGAACAAATGTTACTCTAAAATATAGTGGGTTTGGAGATGCCCGTGACGATCGAAAGCAACCTTAATTGTCTCCATCATTTTTGTGTCATAAAAAAGCAGAGAGCAATCTTATACAATAACAAAAACATAATTACAAGCAAGTATTAAGCTGATGAACTAAGATCAGAATTTTTGCTTTACGGCTTTTATTTAACTAAGATCAGAATTCTAGTTTAGACTGGATTTGTACTTTTGTAGGCTCATAACAAGGTCTTGTATCATTTTGTTTTCCTTTTCTAATTTATGTAGCTTCTTCAATTTATCGATGTTGCATTTTTGTGTTATTAAAGTTTAATTAGAATTCCAATTTAGCCTCACATATATGTGTTGGGTGTTTTAATTTGAAATACTTAAACTGATAAATAAAAATATATTATAAAGTAGATGCAAAGTTGACAATGCAAAGTTATTGAAAGAAAACAAGATCAACCAAAAAAAAAAGGTTAGACCTGATCAAACAATACAGTGTGAATACAATAAGACTATATCACCATAAGGCCAACCTTCTTACTCTTGCTTCAGCTCCTTGATGCAAACCTTCATGTACAACATTTGTCCACGCAAGAAACTGTTAGGGATCAACATGAAATCCTCTCGAGGGGTTTCAAGACTCACTTCAAGAACCCTCTTCACCTCTGGTGATGTAAAAGTCATATTGTATCTATCCACAGTGTAAGAGAGATGATATGAGAACTTTCCTATTTCTGGAGCAGATGGTGCAATGCATCTTATGGTTACATACACACCGTACGGCTCCTTAAAACACTGCACTACAAACACTAGTTCCATCATAAGTTCCCTTTTAATTAATATCTTATTGCTGATTGCCATCCGGAAACTAAAACTTGTGTCACATTTGAGAGGTACGTTGATGTATTCAAGCGGGTGGGAAGATAAATTATAGTGAAAAAAGAGATCTTTGGATGAGCCATTATAATTGCAGCCTGGGACAGGGCAGGAGCATTGAGAGAAGACGCATTCGTTTACATGAGTTGATTCTTTCCCATAAGAGACCTTCTTGGTGCAACCGAACGTGGCGTTTGGGCATGGGATCAAGATCGATTCAAGAACACTCTCCATTGCTCTACAACGTATGCGGCCAATAGTTAAAGCACATGAAGGGCACTTGCTTCTCAGTTTGGTACAGAAAGAAGAGCAAGCCAAATGTCCATTATCACACTGATAAAGCAAAACCAACGAAATAAAAAAATCAAATCAATGTTCAGAAAACCTAGCAAAACGCAATGATGTCGACTTAACTTAACTTTTCAACAACTAAACATCAAATGAACAAACAATCTAAAGATCGAACTGAAAACATAAAACAAAGCCAATACGCTAAATAAAGTCTCGGCCTGAACTCGAAAGTGAGTAACGTAACCTGGAAGATAGGAATAGTAAGTGGCTCAAAGCAAACAGGACAATCGAAAACATCAAAATCCAACATGGCCGGACGTGTTTTATCCTCAGTTCGTTGCTTCTTTTGCAAGTGAGTGTCACAAAGTACAGAGAGCGATCTTATACAATAACACAAACATAATAACAAAGTCTAGTCTACATATGGTTCACACACATCTCCAACATCTTTACGCATCATGTCGTATATGTGTTAAGAAAGAAGTAGCTAGCTAGCTCGCCATGTTTGGTGTTTTTATATTTTAAAGTGGAGCAAAGCAGAGGTTCCGTCAAGTCCTTTGGCATTGAAGTGAGCAGTGTATTCTTTGATGGTGGTCTCCCTGTACTTAGGAGGGTTTTCTTCAGACACAATCTCTCTAATGGGTCCGTATAGTGTAGGATTCGGTGTCATGGCCGTGAAGAAGAAACATGCTACAGAGATTCGAGCTTTACTTGCTCTGTTCGCCAACACTCTATGTTCTGAACTAACGAAGTTGTCGTTTGATATAAGCTGCATTAAAACCAAAAATAAAACATTTTAACCAAGAGTGACGATCGCTTAGGCAAATCTTAGCATTATATATGGGTACTTGCCTGTAGAAGATCTCCGATGTTGATGATTAGAGCTCCAGGGACATGAGGAACATCGAACCAGTACCCTTCTTGAAGTACCTGAAGGCCACCGATCTGATCTTGAAGAAGCACGGTAAGAAAAGAAGTGTCTGCGTGTTGACTTGTGCCTAAAGTTAGGTCAGGTTCTGGACACGTTGGGTAGTAATGGCCAAGCATGATCAAACCCTTAGCGCAATCCATGTCATTGAGGTGATTAGGGTTCAAACCTAAAGCTTCTGATAAAAGCGTGAAGAGGAATTTACCCAAACTCATCACTTGCTTTGAATATTCTATCATGACATCCCTGAAACAAGTCAACCATATGAACAGAGAGATCACACTTACGTACACGTCAAGAAATGGAGTCATGAGATTATACCTAAGCATTTCTGGAAGATCTTGTGGATTCGGAGGATCCGGAGCCATGAAACAAGTAACTGTGTCTCTCCAATTAGCTGCTGGAGAAGTGTAGAGATCGAAGTTGCTTGAATAGTGAAACTTTTGCCTCGTTATATCGCGAGAGTAAAGCTCTTTCTTCACTTCTGGAGATTGCTCGTGAAACTCACGAACTCCATCTTTCATCTTCTCAAGAAGATCGAGAGAAACTCCATGGTTGATCACCTGAAAGAAACCCCACTTCCCTGCTGCTTCTTTAATCCTCTCGATGGCGTTCTTGCGCTCCATCGAGGTTTCAAAGATCCGTCCACCAATATCGATCGTTGGGATCGTCTTGAGAAGCAAGTCCGAGGGAAGTGGTTTAGGGTTTGCTAGGTTGAGAGATGAGTGATGGAAGATACGTGGAATCTTTGAGATTCCTGAGTCCACGAGTCCTTTCACACCTGTGTTGGTTTCATCGAAAGCCTTAAGCTCACTGGCACGATCGAATGAAGCAACCTCCATCGTTTTTGTTTCGCAGGAAACAGAACAATATGTGATACAAATCAAGAAAATGAAGCTTTTTTACTTAAGCTCAAAGATAAGACCAGTTGCTACAAGCAAAACCATTAATTCATAGATAAGGTTGATAGAAAAAAACAGCTGCCTATGACAGCAACTAGGCTAGACAAGTCTAAGTCAACGAGAAGTTAAATGGTTATGCATGGTCTTCTCAAATTAATAGAGCATATGTTTTTTCCACAACCAAACATTAAAAGACAATAAAGAAACAACAAAACTAGTTCTGACCGAACATACAGAACAATCAGTCCCATTTGTTCTTAAACAAAAAGTGTGACTCAAGTAAAAAAAATTAGTTTCCTGAATAGTTTAAACTTTAGTTTGGTTAATAAAACCATGCATTTTACATATTAATTTCTAAAAGAAAAGGTATTTTCAAACTAAAACTCGAAAAAAAAGACATTTTCCAAAATTTACTCATTGATTTTCATTTCCAAAATGTTAAGCTTTCCATCAAAGCATTGTACCTTTGATGAGAGCGTCAATTATAATAATAAAGGTTAAAACTTTCCTACCATACAAACTATGTGAAGTGAATACCAGACTTGTTGAACAACGAAAGAAGATACAAAAACTCTTGTTGTGACATCTTTGAAGCTATCTTCTCCTCGAAACCACCTTCCTTTAACACATTTATAACTTTCTCCTTGAACTCAGATGTTTTTCCTTCTCCATCATCCATGTCCATATCATCATCATCATCCATCTCATTTTCGTGTTCATCTTCAATTCCAATGCTGTGGTCACCAAGATCCATGGCAGCTTCTCCAATCGAGCCATTGTTGTGAAACGAACCAAGAACATTCTGAAGAGTCTTGAAGTTCTTCTCCAGCATCAAAAGAACATACTTTTGCTTAAAAATTGATCCCAAGGTTTTGTTCAGTCTAATGAAACAGACTCTCAAGAAACCATCCCACTCCTTCTTGTTAACTTGAGGTCCAAGCTTCCTTGGTTCGATTCTGACAACCGAAGAATCCACCTTCGGCGGAGGGCAGAAATTGTTCTTTCCCACTTGGAGGAGGTGTGAGACTCTTGCATAGAGCTGAGTGTTAACAGATAGACGACAGTAGAGATTTTCACCAGGCCGAGCAACGAGTCTCATTGCGAATTCCCTCTGGTACATGATCACAGCACATCTAAAGCTTGTCCCATGGAAGAGAAGTTTGAAAGTGAGAGGAGATGATATCTTATAGGGAATGATAGCAACACATATATCAAAATGCGGCAGCTCGGTCTTAAGCACATCACCTTGAATCACCTTTTTAACAGACAAAACCCTAATGAGTGATAGAGTTCAGTTTCATATCCTCGTAACTAACTTGTTCCTTGTACGTACCTTTAAGCGGTTAGAGAATCCTTGAAAACGGCGTTGAAGCTCAAGAACCATACGGGAATCGAGCTCGATGGCGATAACTTGTTTACCAGCTTCTAGTAGCTTCTTGGTCAAGTTTCCAGTTCCAGGACCGATCTCGAGAATCACATCGGTACTCTTAATCCCAGCTTTCTGAACGATCGAATCCACAAGCAAAGGGTTCTTTAGTATATGCTGACCTTTCGATTTGTGGAACGATATGTTTCCTTGGTAATGGTTTGACGCCTTTGGCTTCTCCTTCCTTATCTTCCCTCCAGCCATTGTTGCTTGCTCTCACGGCGGCACAAGATGATGGATGATTAGGGTTTTTTTTTTCTCTCTATTTAACCTATTCTGTTTTTTTTTTTTTTTTTTTTCGTTTTCGTTTATTTTATTTGGTATGACTAAAACCAGCTTCACCAAGCTTTTAAGGAAAGATACAATTTTCGATGAATAGATGTAATTTTGTAAACGCGACATATATATCATTTATCTTATAAATCACAAATCACTTGGCTAATAAAATTTCCAAAGTTTCACGAATTTTTAAGGAAAAATACAATTTTAAATAAATAGATGTAGTTTTTTTGGGGAAATTCTTTTAAATACTAGTAAAATGGATATTTTTTTCAAAAATATTGTTATGAAGTTTATTTTCCAAAAATACCACTATAATACATTTTTCCGAAAATACCACAAAACTAAAACTTATATTTTTAACATTCAAAACTACTTTCTAAATCGTAAACACTAAACACTAGCTACCACTAAAAACTATAATCTATATGTAAATTATCAACCCAAACATTAAAAAAGGATTCTACATCTTAATATTCAATTTTTATGTTTATGGTATTGTTGGAAAAATAAAACGTTATGGTATTTTTGGAAAAAAATAAATAATGATATTTTTTAGAAGAAAAAATTAAATTATGCTATCTTAAGGGAATTTCTCTTTTAAATTCGAAGGTGTAAAGGTCTATGTTTAACAAACACACACCTTTTAGACTTTAAATGGCTAATCATAACAAAATGTTCGTACGTACAACTTCCCTGTGAGTTCTTTGCGGAATAACCTAAGATTAACACTCGTTTGTAAAGATTAAAGAATATATCAACTTATTTTGTTCTCAATGGGTGTTATAACAATGGGTTATGTTAATGTTGATGTAAAAATAGATGGAGAATTCTCTAAAAAACGAAAAACCTCTTGAATACACAAGTCATTGGAATAATTGTATTTTAAAAATAAAATACAATTTCTTATTAATGGTAATATTGTATTTGTATTTTAACTTATATCTATGTATCAAAACAATCATACTTGCCAATAAATTAATAAGATTATTCTAGTGATACCATGGGGTTATTGGGAGAATGATTTTACTAAACTCTAAAGAATTTGTACTTATCAACAACTTTCAAAAATACTGCACTTATCATCAGGATTTGTAAAATCTATCATATTAAGAATCTATTAAACTCTAAAATTTTTAGTAAACATTTATTGGAATCTACAAAACTCCTTGAGAATTTTAAAATCTCTAAAACTTTTGAAATCCACAAACTCTTTTAGATTTAACCTCCCAATAACCCCCCTACCTTTAAAAATATCTTCAAAAATTAATATATAAGGTTGTATAGTATATGCTTTTATTGAAAGCAAAAGACTTTTAGAAGAAGAATTGCAAACTTTTAGTATAGAACCTTGAAAATAAGCTTTAAACTCTTTAGAAAAATAAAAAATGATACTTATTATTGATAATATTTACATAAATAATATGAAAAATTGTATTTTGTTTTAAAATATGATGATGTGGCAATGACATCAATGATGTGGCAACCACGTCATCAATGTCATCAATGACGTGGCATCCATGTCAGCAGCCAAGACAATGGATGTATGATTTTGTACGATTTGCGAAGTTCGTGTATGAATTTTGAATTTTTTAAAACATTAGGTATGTATTGGCACATAGACAAATGTTAGGTATAAATTGAACATTCATGTTTATGTTAGGTATGGAATAACCAATTATCCGAAAATCATCATCTAAAACTCTTTTCATCCTTTAGAGAGCGTCTAAATGCCTAGTAAATGTCATAATCTAGCACACATCCGATGCCTAGAAGTTTTGCACCAGTCAAATTTCAGCTTCAATGGAATCTCTAGTTATATTTTATATTTCTCAGTTAAATCTTTAACTTTATTCTTTTTAGAACTCTATTTTTATATCCACCTTAATACATTGTTAATAGAATTTAATGTATAATGTACGTTTCATTCCATGCATAGAGTATAATTTCTTCTAATAAAAACGTCAAATTCCAATAGGCAAAGGTGATCTTAGAGCCTTATGAATCCATCATCACATGTAGCTATCAAAATGTATGTCAGAGTTGAAATTGTTGCGAATGCATCAAATATCTAGGTAAGAGCCTAGCAGTGAGGGAATACCTAGAGGGACATACATCTGTGATATGTTTTTAGATCATTTTGGATAATTGGAGATGCATAACTGTCCAGAGTTTGACCTCTAATGCAAGATTTCCAATCGTTAGCTCTTAAAATTTTGGATAATATATGTTTAAAATTTATAATAATAATTTTTTTAAAAAAATCATGTACAAAATATGTATTCGAATTAATATTAATGGTTTTATGTGGTTATAAATATTTTGATTGAAGATCTCATTAACTTGTTTTGCTATTAGTATATGTTTTTTTTCAATAGTAAGACTGTTAAACCCTTAATGAGATAATAATTTTTGGTTCTTTAGATCAATGGCTTACAATGTGTTTCCAAAAATACCATTATTAGTTTTATTTTCCAAAAATACTACTTACATGCTTTTTCCAAAATACTAAAAAGCTAAAACTAATTTTTTAACATTCAAAAACTAAATTCTAAATCCTAAAAACTAAAAATTATACCCTAAATATTAACTAGTCATTCCAAACCTATCTATGTAAAAATCATTTTTTTAAGTTTATAATATTTTTGGGAAAACAAAACTTTTGTGAAACTTTTAGAAATATAACAAATTGTGGTATTTTGGAGAAAAATAAACAAACTGAATGGTTGTATTTTGGTGAAATTCTCTTAATATTATTACCATAAATTAGTATTTGAGATCGATATGAGGCTTGGACAATTATTTCTTTTGCTAGGTTAGGTTCAGATTCATGTGTTGGTAAATTTATTTTAATAGAATATATACTATAAATTTCAGATAATTATCCTAAAAGTTTTCGTTTTCAATAATTATCCTAAAACACATTAGTTTCGTTTTCAATAAAATTAAAAACCTGAAGAAGCTTTGAAGAGAGTAGCAGGGACTAGAGTGTGTAGTAGCCGGCAAAGCAGACCTATGCAAAAGAAAAAAAGAAAAAAACATAAATTCTTAAAAAGCTCTGAAATTTTCAACTTTTGCAGTGCCAGTTTCTTAGAAGTGGTCCTCCTCTATACTTAGAGCCAGTGAGAGTTGACCAACACAAACCATCTTCATCACAAGAAACTAATGTGTTGTCCTCTGAGACTTACCTGCTCAAAAAAAAGCTGACAAGATCGAGATTTCTATGCCCACCAGAATCTTTGTCTCTCTCTCCATATTTTTCTATGTATCTATATCTCTCTTACTTACTTCTCTATTTATACCACCACCACATTTTGTTGTTGTTTAGAGTCCCAAGAACATAAGTGAAGTTCAAGATCAAGTCAAGAAATGCCAAGAAACATCTATGAACCTTTGAAGGTGTCAAAACATTAGTTCTGTTTCAAATGTTTTGTTATTTACTTTACAACATTGTAACGCGCTTTTGGTTTTTATGTGACAGACATATTTTCTCCAGGTTAACATCAACTGTCAAGGATGTAAGAGGAAAGTGAAGAAAACTCTGAGAAAAGTTGAAGGTGAGAAAAAAAACAGAACATAAGAGTTTATCTTTCTTTTAGGTTGGTTTAAGTAGTGTTTTTTAATGAGTTTGTGTCATGGTTCTTCGTTTCAGGTGTTTACTCTGTTGATATAGACACAGATCAGCAAGTTGTGATAGTTAGAGGTAACTTAGATCCAGAGGTTTTGGTCAAGAAGTTGAACAGAATAGGGAAACATGCTCAGACCATGTTCTTGACCCCTTTCCATCAAGCTGGTCTTAACAATCATGAGAACAGAAGCTTGGGGAATACAAAATACAACTTAGGGAGTAGTTACAACAATGTCCCAAGTTATGGAAGGAACATTGTTAATCAGAGTGATGAAGAAGAGATGATGAACATGAAACCTGTGATGATGAACGATGCAGATTACTTTGAAATGAGCAATTCACCTGAAGATTTCCAAGAGTTATTTGGGGAGATACCGCAAAGACACAACAGCTATGAAGAGGTGAAACCAAATCTGATGAGGGACATGGATCTTGGATATTCTAATGCATACCCTGCAGCAGAAGCAATGAATATGCAGATTGGAGGAAGAGTGAATAATATGATGATGAATGAGAGGGCTTTCCGTGGCCAGATGATGAACGGTCCATCTCTTGTTCCTCAGTCAATGATTCATGAACAACAGTTCAGCTCAAGACCACTTCACTCTATGAATCATGAACAGTTCAGCTCAAGGCCACTTCGGTCTATGTATCATGAACAGCTCAGCTCAAGGCCACTTCATGGCTTTTACTACTGATCGAAGAAGTTAGTAACTGAAGTTTGCTTAACTATATGTGTGTTTTCAAGCATAGTAGTATAGTTTTTTCTTGGTTCATTGTTGGTTTTAATGTGGAAGAACAAAGACTGTTACTTCATTAGCTAAAAATCATACAGTTCTCTTGTAAATCCATTATTGCAATCCCTATGGTTATGGCCTGTTAGTTTCATTCAGTTCGTCAACGTATTAACACTAACAAATGAAAAATAAGTATCCAAACATAACAGCCATAAACACCCATATGTCTAATTGCTGTTTAAAATGTTTTATAAGAGCTCTTGCACAACTTCTTACTCTGAAGTCTGAACTGTTTTATATGCATAAAAGAATCGTGCAACATAGATATTGTGATCCAACCAACATTGAGATCTCAACTAATCCCATAATCATCTATGTTTTCCTTATTTTAGATAAATATGTTACATTTTCACCTGCTTTAGCTGTATCTCTCAGCTTTCAGTTCAACCTTTGGGCTGCGGATTTCATCCTGGCTTTGTATTAATCTAATCTCCAAACTGCTTGAGCTGGGATCATACCCAGCCTGTTTGTAATCATCGAGCGTCCTTCGCAGAAGCCCCTGCACACAAGCAATACAGAGTTGTTCCAAATAACAATTAGCACAAACATCTAAGGACTTTAGAAACTAATATATGTTCAGCAGAGATCCTGAAACGTTGTGAATAATAACAAAAACGTAAGTGAATTTAGTAGCTTTACAAGTTTAGAAGATTACCTGCAACGTTGAAACTGCAAGCTCAGCTGCCTTGTCAAGGTTTTCAGGGTATTTCTACATATCACAATTATTAAACAATAAACGTCAAAACATATAAGGCAAATCGATAGAGAATATTTTGAGTTCATAAGGAAATCAAGAGGCATTACATTACTCCAACCAAGTAGAAGAGCAGTCATGAGATCTCCTGTTCCCTGCAAGTAGTGTTACCAAAAGACTTAACTCCAACATTTAGCCTTTAACATGTCAGTACCATTGGAATTAAAAGATTCTACTTGCCAAACACTAGCAAACCCACTCAGATTGGTGGTGTACTTCGTCTGAACAAATTTAAGCTACTTTTATGCTAATATTTAAAAGCCTGGAAGTTCTGAAGTATATACCGTAAAGTAAGCAGGGATTTTGTGTATTTCAATCTTGAATTGCTCAGGCTTCAGACCCTGAGGTTGAGAAAACTACGATCAATTACTCCGAAAAGAACTAGAAAAGCAATTGTACGCCACTTTTTTCCGTTTAAATACAACATACTCAGGCTGCCAAAAGCTATGCTATTCCAAAACCTTACCTTTTCTTTCTGATGGCTTCCAATAAGCAATAGAATGCCTCCTATAATAATGCTAGTGATCACCACCTGCCAAACATTAAAATCATTTGAGCTTTTATAGAAACAGTAAAGCTAATCTTGGACGGCTGCACGTTATGTGAAGTAGCTTCTCAACCCTTTAAAGATGTGATAATAACCAGTACTTAATTATTTGGAAACCCATTTAGGCTTAAGCTCAATACAACAAACCTTTGAAGGACCAGCTGCATGAAGAATAGCACACGCTTCCCTGCCATCTTCTTCAGAATTTATCCTGTAATATTTATTTAGGACTTTGATGTTTGGAGCCATAACAGGATAAAATATCAAAGATTGGGAATTCCTGATGTTTTGTGTTCGTTCTTTCCACTACTAATATAATTGTCAGTTATCTCAATCAAAGAGCTAAATCTAACTCTCGCTAATAATCAAGTACCTTAATCCTGTTAATTTCTCTGCCTCAAACTGGTTAGGAGTCAACATAGACGCCAATGGAACAACCTAACCACAAAATAATACCATCAGGGGATTTCACATCAACTATTGTTACAAATATAGGCAATGATTGCCAGATTCGGGAACCAAATCTTTGAACTCAACGAATGAATCATTTATGCTGAGAAAAGGGTAATTTATAAAGGTGTTATCAACTGATCAAACAGAAAGTACACAACTACTTATTTCTTTTAGTCTCATTTTACCTTTTCACGATAAACATGTACCAATTCTTCAGGCACATACAACTTTCCTTCATCACCCATCACCGGATCACATACTAATAACAATAGACTTAAATTAGCATACTTAACCATTTCAGAGGTCCAAAACATGCTCACATAACAGATCATGCCCTCACTCCAGTTTTTTTGCAACTAAAAACACTACAGAGATGCCTAACTACATCTTTGTTTCAATCCTTCCAAGGCGTTCAAACACTCAGAAAACTTCAAGGGACTAGATAGAGAAAACAGAAGGCTTTTGAGGGAGTAGCAGTACACTCACCATATGTAAGATTTGGGTTTATAGACCGAAGCTTATTGATAACCTTCAAGATTGTATCCAGGAACGACACTGATCCAATATATCCTGTATTTTAAAACACACAAAGAGCTAAATATAAAGTACTGCTGCTAACTTCCCACCAAAAGCATTGTCAAACTCAGATGACCCAACAATAACACATCACCATTTGAATCATAAGAGAGGAACTATAGAACATAGCTACTGATACAACTTTTAAGAGAAATTCTCATTTTCCAGAGGTTTCAACAGCATATGATCAAATAAACAAGAAATTACGTTCCAAGGTCTCAGCCACTTTAACTTAGTAGGGAAGGGAAAGGAAAGGCCCATCCTTTGTAGTATTCTCATACAAAGTTTTTCCACTTGACCAATAAAAAAGCATATAGTATTCAAAGCAAATACCTGTTAATACATGAGTGTAGAACAACAAATTGTTTGCTTCAAGACCTTCAATCAAATCCCACAATTGTTCACCATTCAAAACCTGTCCTTTAAATGTAGGATACCCTGGAAAAAAAAAAAAATTAGTAAAGCCAAATCATTGGTTTTGCATACACCAATCCTGAAGATACTATAAACAATTGTGTCAAGAACATTAGGCTCAACATTACAGTGACTGAATCTTACCGGTATGATTCGAGAACTGTACCGAGTTAATTGGATCCACATCATACCCCAACAATTGAAGAGGAAAGACAGCTGATTTGTTACCAACATATCCCTAAGAAAGGTATAAGAGTAAATTACATTACATATATGCCAACACAAACTAAAAACACAGCACAACTCAAGCACATGAACGGGTGTTTCATACTTAACACATACATAGTACTCATAGAAACAATAAAACACAAGATTATCCTCACTGATTTATCCTTCAATTCAATAAAGTCTAAACCTTTATGAGAATTTATTCAAAAGGGATAAAGTAGAATCTTCAATCCTATCAATAAGATATATTCAAAAGCTTACTGATTTATCACAAAATTCAGATTCAAATGCATAAAGCTCTGTTCTTTCTTGTTAAAAACGTAATCAAGGCAGCAACATATCAAAAAATTGAAAGCTTTAAACAAAGTTTCTAATGATAAGATAAGTAAACAAAACAAACGAAACCATGAAAAAACCTGAACAGTGTGGGATTGGATACTAAGAACACGACCAGTATCTGAAGGAAGAGCGAGAGACAGAACAGGAGGCGTCGTCATTCTCCAATTTCTCGATCTTTTTACCAAATCATCAATCCAAAAAACAAAAGAAAACACAAATATAGATATCAAATTGAAAATAAAACACAACTGAATTAGTTTAGGTATTGATTCGGGTTTGAGCAAAACCGGAGATTTCGATTAAGGTTGAAATAATGAGTCTGAGATCGACGAAGAGAAGAAGTGGTTGTTGTCTTGAGGGAGAATGGCATCAAGTGCTGACCTTTAAAGATTAGCTTATGTTTGAGTTTGACCATAAGACTCACTTGAAAGATCTTACTGTTTTAATAACCGGTTCGAAACCGATTCGGTTTGGTTTATTACATTTAACCGGACCTGACTAATTGGTTCTAAAACCGGCGGCGGGAGAAATTGATTAAACGAAGTTGCTAATTAGGGTTAATGTTTTTTGTATGTTAAATAAATTACCAACTTATCACATGAAATTGTTTTGGTTATCTCATATAACAATTTATATTTATTAATAATCTAAAAAATTGCAAAGTGTTATACCAAACAATTATGTTTATTTGTCCTATTCCTACCTTTTTTAATGTTCGCATCTGTTATTTTTTCAATAAGAAAATAAAATTTTACTAGCCAAGAAAATAAATTCATAACTTTTCACTCGAAAACGTGATTTAACAATGTTAATTATTTTAAGTATATTTAAAATAATAATAAAATCAGTTTGCTTTTTAAACAAGATCACAATTCAGTTTTTTTTTTAAACCCATCAGACAAGAGACAACATTCTACAAGATCATACGTTACTCTTAATGGTTGGGTATAATTACGTATGAAAAAAAAAAAAACATGATACATATTTATATGAATTGCATGTTTGAATATTGAAAGAAGCCAAGAAAATTTTCCTGTTGTAAACGGTAATTATAAAATTCTGAAATTACTTGTCTTTGGAATTAACTCACAAAATTATTGAAAGTTGACTGTTGTAAAACAGATTTTATTACCGTTGCAATGATAAAATAAAAAGAAAATTATTGAAATCTCTTAAATCTGACCGTTGTAAAATTAATATCAATTTTTTTTGGTAATTTTTTTTTTTGATATCAATTTCGTTTTTCTTTTTAACTTCCTAATCCTTAATTTCTTCTTCATTCATTCATCGTTGTGATAATACAAAACTCTCTCTTCTTCTTCTTCTTCTTCTTCTAAACCCTAAAACCAAAAGTAAATCCATAAATTTTGTTCAAGATCCTACTAATGATGCAGTTTAGTTCGGTTCTCTGTTCTCTTCTCGAAACGGTAATGATCCGTAACGGTAAGATTTATCATATCATCGTTTGGTTTCATCTATCGAGATCCTCTGTTTTTTTTCTTCTTCCTTCTAAATCGATTTCACCAAAGACTACGACAGAAATTGAAATAGTCTCTGCGAATTCCGCCGATGATTATCCACAGAGACGCTTTCACCAGAGGTTTAAAAAGTGAAGAGAGAGGAATCGAGCGAAGGTATTAGTAATATATTTTTCTGTCTTCTTGATTTGTATTTGAGATTAGGAATGATTTAATTAGAGATGATGATGTTTACTAGTGATCTTAGAGAATGAATGGTTACCTTATAGATATGTTGTGGATGCTGGAAACTTGAGATAAGTGTAGGAATTGTTTTGGATGCACACAGGACAACCTATAGTTGTAGCCATGTTTGTGTCTCGCCGTGTTTGCTGAAGAAGTTGATTAATTACATCTTAAGACTTAAGTAAACCATTGTCTCTTTCTCTAGCTTCTCTTCTTTATAATCTTATGTACTTGTGTCTCATCATATGTTTACTTGACTGATGGTTTGCTCCTCAAAGTGTTGATACTTTGAGTCCATATATAGCCTTGTGACCCAAGAATCCGTGTTGAGTCATTGTTAGTGTTCCCGATTTCAAAGTCAAGTGCTGCTCACCAGAAAAGAGTTTTTACAGGCTTTATACAGACAAGAGTTTCAGTAATGACTTGCAGCCGCATACCTTTCCTGAATTATTGAGATCGAACCTTGCAAACACACTTCTGACCTTGAAAAAACTAGGTATTGATGACCTGTGGTTGTGCACTTCGATTTTATCAATCTCCCAGCTCCTGAAACGCTTGATGCAGAGTCATAGAAGTTTTGAATTACTTGGGAGCACTGGATGATGAAGGTAACTTGACAAATACATGTGAGATAATGAGTGAGTTCCCCTTGGATCCACAGATGGCGAAGATGCTCATCAGTCAGTCCTGAATTCAACTGCTCTCGGTTTCAGCCATGCTTTCAGATACACCCTTACTTGGTTTCTGCAGCCATACTTTCAGGTACACCCTTAGTTTTGTTTTTTATATACTCTTGCTAGCTTTGATTAGGTATGTAGTTAAGTTTAAGGCTTAAAACTTGATAACAATTTCCATTCTGCATTAAGTATTAGAGTTAGGTGTTATCATCAGCAGTCTCTAGTCTCGGTTCTGCATATCCTAAGTAAGTGGCTGATGCAGATACATAGTTGTTTCAGTTACTCAGTCATGAAGCAAATGGTATTAGTCTCCTCACCTCTATGCATCTGCTGACCACTTCCATGGACATGTTCTGTTATAAAAAACAAATTCTGTAATTCTCTGCTTTATTCTGCCAAGAGAGACTCAAAAACCAGCAGATGAAGCTAAATCTAGGTTTGGGCACATTGATGGAGATCACCTAACATTGTTGAGTGTCTAACACGCTTTTAAGCAAAACAGTAAGTGGTTAACCCTTTCTCTTCTTCTTTTTGTTTATAGATGCTTTAGACCATTAAAAGTTCATTAATTAGTAATTGGTTCTATGAAAAGTTCATTAATTAGTAATTGGTTCTATGAAAAGTTCATTAATTAGTAATTGGTTCTATGAAAAGTTCATTATAGTGGTTAATCAGTAATTGGTACTATGAAAAGTTCATTTCATGTTCTTGTTTTCTTTGGTTTACTATCTCGAGGTATTATAAGTAGGTTCGTAATAGTCGTCATCTTTTAATTTGATTTGGAAAATTAAAATAAATTTGTGTGGTATTATGAAATAAAAGAGGACATCTCTTATGTGTAACAAACAGGTAGCTGCTCCCTCTCATTTGTGGTTTCAAATTTCAGAACAACCACCAAATCGCCTCACGATGTTCATCACAACCTTGCAGGTATACTATACTTTATTATCTTTAAAAAAAAATTAAGAATATGATATGAAAATATACAAAAGTAAAAAAGATTTTATGTTTTTTTTACTGCTGATTTTACAGAATGATTTAAAAGTAAATATCAAATTTTTACAGAATGATTTAAAACCAAATTTTTATTTAACCAATTTTTTTTCTTTTGTTTAATCTAAGTGTTAAATTTAAATACGTTTAAAATAAACTGGACATACAGTCCCTTTTTGATTCGTCTGTTTGGTGTAAAAATTCAACATGTTTTCACTTATTGTAAATGTAATGTTTAAAAGCTTCAAAGTTTGTTTTTAACTTTTTTTATAAATATTATTTGAAGTAAATTGTTTTAATTGTTAACTAAAAAGATATTATTATATAAAGTGTTTTAAAAAGCTAAATATTAAATTTCAATACATTGAAAACAAACAATTTAGAGTGAGAAAATTTTATTTGATAAGATGTTGCGTTTTTTATTTATTTGGGATTTTGCAAGACCAATTTTCAAAGTGTTTGTTATATTTTAATGTGTGAGATTCACACAAGGCCATCATAACTTAATTATTAGAAATATAATGTAATAATTATCAATGTTGGATAAATTGTTGTTAAGAAATTATCCAAAAGTTTACAAAGAAGATAAAAAATAAAATTCTAAGAATTATCTAATATATTTGTCTTAATATTCACTCTTACCAAACTATTTAGAGTTGCAATATTGGTTTTAGTTCTAACCATGATTTCTTGAATTGATCTCACTATCCAGTTTTCTTCATGTATGTTGGTGGGTATATACTTCAACTATTAATGGTTAACCTGATTTTAGTTCAATTCTAGTTCAGTTGTTCTTTTCTTTTTGTTTTTGTATCTAAAAATAATGGTATAAGTAAGCATACATTACTTTTGTGTATTACTTACTCAAATTAATGTAAGGCTTATCATTTACCTCTAGCATCTAGCGAAATGTTTTTTTATTTATATAAAGTGTACTGTCTAACCAAATATTACCAAATAAAAGAGTGCCACATGGAATTTGGGTATTCCATAATCTTGTATAAGATATTTTTGTTTCTCTCCTAATCATCTTTGTATTGCTTTGGAAATATACTGCATTTTAATTAACATCTCCGTAACTGGTTGGAATTATAAATACCTCTGCTGTTAGCATCTCCAGCTTCCTCCTCAGCAACAATGAAATAATTAAATTATTCAAATTCCACATGACCTACACCTTGACCTACACCTTGTCCAAGTTACGTTCCACATGACCAGAGAGGGTTATTGGCCAATCAACTAAGCCATCATGATGTTTAGGAGCCCAGACAATGTGATCTAAACTACTAACAACGAAGCGGTGCAGCTCTTATACGGTTCAAAACAGTATTTTCGTGACCTGAAAGATGCCAAAGTGGGATTCTTACAATTTTCTCCTTTGGATATGCATTGATTTCGCTTCTTAGTGAAGAAGGGATGTAAATGAGAATGGGGCAGTTTGCTTTCATATATTATCTTGAAAGTAAATTATCATCTTGAAATAAATTAAATTTAGTACTAGTTTGCTTTCATATTAATTAGGTAGCAACCACACCTATTGAAGCAGAAGCAAAGGCATTACTAGCTGCGATTCAACAAATCTGGTTACGAGGATATCGTAAAGTCTATATGCAGAGCGACTGTTCTGACTTAATAGATATGCTTCAAGGGAATCTTCACAATGCCTTAATTGAAGGGATTTGTCAGGATATCTTACACTGGTATGCTTCCTTTTCTGAAATTAATTTTGGCTTTGCTAAGCGATCTTGTAATGAAGCTGCCCATCTTCTCGCTAAGTTTGGTTGTTTAGATAGTAATTTTTTATGTACGGGTGTTTATCCACCTCGATGGCTGCAGAATCAGTTGTATCATGACTATATTAATTCTTAATCAATAATTTTTTTTTGTTGAAAAAAAAATAATTAGGTAGCATCAGTTGTAAAAATCTGATGTAACTAATTTACTTTGTTAATTTACATTACAACGAATCACCTAACAAAAGATAAATTCAAGTACTTTTTATTTAGTTATTTTTTTTTAATATAAGTTTGGTTGACAAAAAAATATTAATATGTTTTTTTATTATTGTGTAAAACAATTTAACAAACTATTCTTATAATTAATCTAATAATCAACGTGTATGACTAAATAAGCAAATATTATACCAAAAAAGTTTATTTATTTAATTCTATGTCAATTATTAAAATTAAATATTTTTTTCTTCCTTTATTTACAACTAAAAGAAATATTTATCATCACTTATTATAATTGTTACAATTATCAACGCTATTTAGATTAACTTTTGTTAAATTAACATTTTCTACACAACTAAAAGCATATTAACATTGAATACGAAATTGACAAAAATATATTGAGATAAGTGACACATAGCATTCTTTTCAACTACTTTAATTATCTAGAGTCTTGTGTGCCAATTTTGTGAGACTTTAGCCATCTAAAGCGTTGCTAAGATTCATATCATTATGGACTCAGCAGTATCAATCAATAAGTATGGAGTTCCACAAAAGGAATACGTTAATTATGCTGACACAACAACTAATGTACAATACCATCAATGATTTTTTGTCTGCTATATCATTTATCAATATAACACTAGCCTTTCATGTTACACCAGCAAAAATTGGCCATTAGATTAAAATTATTTAAATTATATCAAATCTTGAAATTGAGAAGGTAATGGCCAAAATTTTAACGATTTTAGATGACATCTTATAAAAATAAATAAATCAAAATATATTTCTCCTTACAACAAAATATTTGAAAGCATATAAGATTGATGTGAAAAAAAAATCAATTTGTACCTAGCTCTTGAACACTCTGATTCTTTAAGATAATGTGTTTGCGAGTTGTTTATGAAAATGAAATTTGTTGTATTATATAATAGCTTATACAACAAAGTTATTATATATATTTATATAATTTGTATATTCGACAACAAAACTCCCATCTTCCAAGTTTGTTGGCATTGAAATAATGATCAGTTACTTTCACAATAGTTACAAACTATAGAAACTAAAATATATACGTCGGTCGGTCCACTTATTTATTTTTTGATAAATATCTCATTATATTTTGGGTTGGCACAAAACATTAGTTAAGCAAAAAAAAAAAAAAAAAAAATCAAAACAAAAGTAAATATAATGTTTTAAGTTTTAGTATTTTTATAAAAAATTCGTTTAACAGTATTACCAACCATGTTTTCAGAATAATATATTTTAGTTTGAGGAAAAACTCTTCTATGAAAAGACACATGATGCAAAGAGTGTCATTTTGACACATTTCACACAAATTAAGAAAACTTTGAATTATACATATATACACCTCTATTTCATAAGTGTTTAATAGTTTAATTAATTGTAGATTAAAAGTAAAATTAGGAAATTTAGTATTAAAAATGCATTGAAAATTTAGAATGACACTTTTTATGAAACAAAATTAAAACCCTACGGTGAGACCCTTTGTGCAAAATAGTTATGATGAGAGTTTCAAACCATTGCCTCGTTGACGTGTTGCACCCTCAACGTCAATGAGGATGGACACCAATCTTAAAGAAGCATTTAATGGATAATTCAACAAGTTAATGAAGAGTATGTTGAGATAAATGTAGATTTAAAATACTACATGGAAGATGTCTACCTTGAAAAACTTCAAAAATTTTATTGAAACCGATGAAGAGTAGTTAGACAACATAGGATACACAAGCGATGGTCCAACATGAAACCTTGAAAACCTTATTGAATTTGTTATGTATGAGAACTATCATAAATTAAAGAGCTTAGAACACTCAAAATAGAGTTAAGATTGATTCATACTAAGCCAAAACAACAACAACAAAAAATCAAAACTAAATCGTAATTTTATTTGCAATAATATAAAAAAAAAATTCCTTAGTTGACCAAGGTACAACTTTATGGAAAGATAAATAAGGGTTTAACCACCAAGTTTGAGTCTCCTCATCAAAGTATATAGATTTTTTTTTTGTTGGTAAAATTAAAATGGTGGTAAAATTTACATAATATTTCAAATATTTGAATTCATTATCATAATAACTTAACCCATAAACGTAAATTAAACTTTTATAATAAAATATAGAGAATTTTTGAGAAATACCCCCTTTGTTGTACCCCTTTTTAAAAATACCCCTCTTTTCTATCCATTTTCAAAAATACCCCTTTTCAAATATGAAAAATTATAAACTTTTATATGGTTAATAAGGTACATCGAGGTCATCATTACTACTAGAAGACTAAATCCAAATATTTATAAGGTTTTAAAAGGTTCTAAACGGCATTTATAATGTTTTTATAAGGTTTTTAAAAGGTTTACACAGTTTTTATAAGGTTTTTAAATGGTTTTTAAAAGGTTTTTAAAATGTATTTATATGGTATTTATGAAATATATATATATATAAATTTACACACATATAAAGATAATTTGTGTATATAAATATAAGTTTACACATATGTTTTTGATAAATTTCAAATTTTATAGTGACTTTTTGATAAATCTAGAAAGAGGGGTATTTTTAAAAAGTTGTATTGGAAAAGGGATATTTTTGAAATTCCCCCTAAAATATATGGTTGAAAATGAATTCTCCAGCGATAATCTAGTTATTTTAAAAATAACAAAAAAACTATATATTAAAATTGTGAATTTTAGTTTTATTTTTTAAAATCTTAAGAGAAAAAAATTTATAAGTGATTTTTTGAATGTACAATATTAAAAATAAATAAATAAACTGTTTATTTAATGAAAAATGGTTTTTTTCTTTTTAATATTATATATTCAAAATATCACTTATAAACTAGGATTTACCCCGTGGTACACCACATCTCCATAATTTAATTGGTCATTTTCGTAGTTAGTTTGTATAGGCTAGTTGTTTATGTGTTTATTTCATTTGAATTTTATATAATTTTATGAATTTGTATTATAAG